CTGGAGCCTCTTTACAGCAGCCACTCAAGAGAGCACAAGAATCAGCTGCTCAGCACAGATGGCCTTGAACCAAAGGTCAGAGAAAAGAGCAGAAAAACCGTGGAAATAGTTTCAAACTGTTCCTGCAGACAGTGCTTGCTGGCTGGAGTCACCTCTCTGGATATGTCTCCCTGCTTTGAAATGCTTCCTCAGTGTCACTGCAAGCAATTTTATTTTACAAGTGGTTTTTTTTTTTTTTTTTGCTGTTTGGCTTTGCTGGGTGTTTTAAGTGGGATTTCTGGTATCTCTCAAGAAAGGAAAAAAAATATTTGCTTCATTGTGAAAGGATTAGGAAGTGTGGACAGGTGAATTAGCTGAGATGTTGTGCAATATTAAACCAGCATAGACTCAGTGTTATACAATAAAAACTTAATAACAAAAGCCCTCAAAAACAGACTAGGAGACTGTTTCTCCTTGTATATCCTGATCCCCACTGGCAGGTGAGTGGATGAAAAAGCTATACTGGACACTATTCCATGCAGGAAAAACGCTGGGTAAACACCTGTTGTGGAAAGCTCTGTTTATCCACTGATACCTGAGCAAAGCTGGGTCTGTGATTACTGTGACATTTCTGCCTCAGTGCTGCTCCCAAATCCCAGCCTGGTGCTGCACTTGGGACAGATGTCACCAACACACTCATTAACACAGAGGTTCCATGAACACAGATCCCTGGAATAACAGACACTGATCCTCAAACATCTGTGAGAGCCATCAGTTGGTGGTAACAATCTAGGCAAAGAAACCCCTTTGGGTGCAGGGTCTTACCTGGGTGAGGCTGATCCAGGGGACCTCCAGAAGGGTCTGTTCCAACCTGAACAATGCCACGAGGTGACCTCCACCAGGCCCTTCCTATCCAAGCATCAACACTCAGCTGTGTGTCCTGACTGAATTCCAGCAACAAGACACACCTGGGAGGCAGATCAACCCCAGCTGCCTTTGGCAACCACAGGGCCTAATTTGGAGTGGAAATAGTGGGGTGGAATTTGAATTTTGTCATTTTTTAGGAAAAAAATGGTTAAATAATGCACAACAGCAAGAGTGTGTGACAGATATGTGGGGTGCTCTGAGTGTGCTCAGCTCTGGTGTTTGTTGGGAGCTGAGTCTCTGCACAGAAGCAGAATATTGTGAGCCTAAAAGAAACCCTTTAGTTGATTTTAAGAAGCACCACAATAAGGGGATTTTATCCTTTTGGAAATATTGTGAAACAGAATTCTTTGAGGCCCCCAGGAAGCACTGAAGAATAATTTGCACAACCCAAAAAATTAGCACAAAGATGAAAAAAAAGGCACTTTAAAGCAAGCCCTAAAGCCAGCTCCCTCAGGTGGGCTCTTTCAGGCATGCTGGGTACAACTTCCAGAAAAACTCCGCAGCCAAGAGACTCACAATGGCTTAAGGAAGAAAGAGCAGCTGATTATTATTGTCAAAAAGTTCAGTGTTTCTCTGTGAAATCTCTGTTTCTTTTGGCTGCAGTTCATTCCACTGAATAAAAACGTTTCTCTTTTGCTAATTCATTTGAACTTCTGGCACTTGCACTGCAGTTCATTGGCCAGCTTTTGGTGGCTGCCCTGCTCTCTGACAGTTCTTATTGTTGGATGGTTCAGGTCATATCATTTCACCCCAGCCAATATTAACGGCTGTGGCTGTTCCCAGTGCTCACCCAGACATCTATCAAATAGATAAGCCCCTAATTCTGTGAATATCTCCTCTCCCAATCAATGGGCTTTGTTCAAACAGGATTATACAGTGAAATGAATAGAAGGAGGTTGTATAGTGAGCAGCTAAAATTAGCACTGAGGGAGTTGCAGAGCCCCACGGGTCAGGAATGAGCCACGGCCCAGCTGGGGACAGCAGACTTGCCCTTCACCTGCCTCCAGGAAAGGACAAGGGCTGAGCATATCTGGGAAACTCTTCATCTTCTCTGAAACCTGCACCTTGGCTCTGCTGCAAAGAGCACACCGTCATACAGCCCTCCAGCAAATGAGAGGATGTGTTTCCAAGTAAATTAGGCAAACAATTTGTTTCCAAGAAAGAGATGAATTACAACTTAATTAAAACAACCTAAGGAGGCTGGAGAAGGAGGGATGAATTCAGAGCAGTCCTAAGGGAGCTCTACAGTCCTTGCTGGTGTCATACATCAGCAGCACAAGAATTTCCATCGGTAATTCCCCGGGGGGGCACAGCTCTGCTCAGGTAGATGGGTTTCACAAACATATACCTTTTTTACCACAGCACACAGAAATCACTCCCTGCAAAGTCAGCTCATCCTTAGAAACAAGAAGGGACAGAGGCTGAGTAGGAAAACAGCAGCAGGCAGCTCCTGGGAGATGGGAAGTGACAGCAGAGGGAATGGGATGTGCCCCCAGCATGGCAGGGAAGGCACCCCCGACCCCCAGCCCAGCAGCCCAGGGGGTGTCTGAGCACACTGTCCGTGCTGGAGGCAGGCAGTGCTCTTGGCACTTACCCTTCAGCAGCGTCCAGTCTTTCAAAGAACTTGTTTACCAACTGCTTTTCAACAGCAAAGAACATCCAATAATTAATAACCCAACTTTATGGCCAAAAAAAAAAAAAAAAAAGGAGTAATAATCAGCTTTCCTTGTTCTGCACTTCTCCAGTGAGGAAAATTTAGAGAACTGTGTTTGTGGAAAAGAAAAGGCTTTCTTTTGGGACCTTCCAGTACCTTCAGGAAGGTACTGGAAGGTCCCAAAAGAAAGCCTTTTCTTTTCCACAAACACAGTTCTTCAGGAAGGTACTGGAAAGAAGGTTGGAGAGGGACAATGGACAAGGGCACAAGTGACAGGACAAGGGGGGAAATGGGTTAAAACTAAAAGAGAGTAGGGTTAGATGGGATATTGGGGAGAAATTCTTCCCTGTGAAGGTGGGAAGGACCTGGCACAGGTTGCTCAGAGATGCCCCATCCCTGTAGGTGTGTAAGGAGAGGTTGGACAGGGCTTGGAGCAACCTGGTCTAGTAGAAGGTGTCCCTGTCCATGCCAGGGGGTGGAACTGGATGAGCTTTCAGGTCCCTTTGAACCAAAACCATTCTGTGACTCTGTGATCTCCTTTAAATCTCACTGCAGCCAAAGGACTCAAACATCACCAGTACATTCTTGCTGCTGGATGCACTTTAAATAAAATCAGCAAGGCTCCCCAGATATCACCTCATATTTCCCTGGGATCCCAAAGCCAGAGCATTAAAATAATGAAATAAAAAATTATGAGAGCAGAACCAGCTTCCTGATGGGAAGGAATAAATCACTGTCTGTGCCTTTCTCTCGTGACTGACCCAGGGCTCAGGTCTGAACAGCAAAGCCTCTGAGTGTGTTCCCAGGAGAGACTCCACCAGCTCCTAATTACATGTGCTAGAAGTGGGTGGTAACTTTACTAGGAGCTGGTAACTGAGCTGTCTGCCCACGGGACTGGAGCAATTTCCATCTCAGTCTCACTTTCTAATGCTGGATTCTGGGAAGAGTGCCTAGTCCTCGAGTGCTTTCTGTTGTATTTGAGCACTGCTGATTTGAATGCTCCCCAGGGTCTGATACTTGGGGAAAAGCCTGTTTTCCTTTCCCATTTCCAGTCCCACAGCCCCACAGCAGCCAGTGTCCAGCTGCTGTTGGCCTTGGACAGGTCAGTAAGGCTGGGTCAGTAAAGGTGCTCCCTCAGGCTTTGATTCCTCTCTGCTTTAGCTCCCTGCCTTATTCCAAAAAAAGTGGTGTTTTCTCATATACATCCTGAGTTGAGAAGAATATACTGAATCCTTTGTGTTTACCCTCCCACTCCCAAACCCAACAGTGCTTTTTGAATGTAGATTACTGTGCTATATTATCTCTGGATTAATTTCTAGATCTGAGGTGGAGCACCAGCCCCACTCCTCAGAAAGCTTCCCTGTTTTCTGTTCTTACCCAGAACACATCAAGTTCTGCTCTGCCTGTTCCAAAGCTCTGCTTGCCTTTGTGTCTGTGAGAAGCACGTAATTTCTCCCTGGATCTGTAAAAGCTCCTTGCTGGGGGTTGTTGAGCTGCCCCTCTCGATTCTGTGCCGTGTTTGGGAAGGGGTTTGTCTCAGTGTGGTCTGTGGGTGGGTTCCACTGACTGGATCTGGTTTTGAAGCCCTTTAGCATGTAATTACTGCTCTGCTTCCATGAATTTCAAGGATGTTTCCTGAGGGTGACCATCAGGTGACACCTCTTTGCAGTGCTCCATCGCCTTTTCCTGTCACAGCTGGGGGAAATACCCTGAGCCAGACACTGTGACACATCCAAACCCTTGTGATTCGGTCCATGCCATGTTCTGATCACCTGTTTTGACTGCTGGGCCGTGGGAGAGGCAAGGACAGTCCTAAGAGAGAGCCTGGAAGCTTTCCAAGCTGGTGATTTCTGTTGCCTGCATCCAGTGCAGATGTTACACCGAGCTGCTGTGACCTTTCTGCTGCTGAGCCCTGGCCCTGCAGAGCCCCCCAAGGGCTGAGCAGCCCTTCCTGCTCCCTGTGCAGCCAAACCAAACTGCCCCTGCAGCCAACACACAGCAGAGAATTTATTGACTGCCTCTGGAATTAGGCAATTCTCCTAATTGTCTTCATTTTCCAGGACTCTGTCATTCTTTCCCTGCACCGCTGGTGGCACAGCTATTTCTGTGAGCTGCTTGGGAAAAAAAAAAAAGCTAAAAATTGAACAGCAAATCAATCCCAGACAAGGACAGATACCTCTGAAAGATAATTGCATTCAGATATCGTGGGGAGCCCTTACAAATCCCTTTCCAGCTTCCAGAGCACTTTTCCCTCTTGTGGCTTTGCTCTGAGGAACCTCTATTAAGCAACAAGACATTGTTAAACAGTGCCAGCAATGAGTAAAAGGACTTCTTTTTTTTGTTTGTTTTCCCATGATTTACTTCCCCAGTGCTCTCCAGCCACACTAAACTCCAAAGCAAGAACTTTTTGCATTATTTCTTTTTATTTCTGAGGGTCAGAATGGTGGGGGTGGCTCTGCTTTGCCCACCTACAAAGCACATTAAAGAGCACGAGGATATCGGTGGGTTCTTTTATTGACTTGTGGGATTTTTTCCCTTTCTTTTGCAGCCTGGGTGTTCATCCCTGTGCCATTTCCCACAATGAACTCGGGGTCTGAACTTGGAAAGTTTCAAGTAAGTGAGGTGGGAGTCAGTAATTGTGAGATTTTTGTCTACACAGAGCTCCTAGACAAGAAAGTCACCCACTATTTTTAATACATTGAACTCATGACACTCAGTATACACATTATGTGTTATTTACACATCCATTTCCATACTTACTCGAAGTCTGTGGTATCACAAATGCACTCAAAACTGTTACATTTCTGCTTCAATATCTCTTTAGTTAAGAAAAAAAAAAAACTTCCCTAAGTAGGATTTATTGTCTGTTTTCAGCGAGGTGGTTGTGAGCACAGTCGTGATCCCCCAAAAATACAGTGCTAGAGTATAGTACACATTTTGTAAAAAAACCTGATTTCTGGGGGTGAATAGTCCTCTGGCAGTTTTGGGATCCCATCCAGCATTTTCAGATTTGGCAAACTGGAGAATACACTTAAAGAGAGACAAAAGAAAAACAGAAACGGAGGTAAAATAACCTTGGGAAATGTTGGGAGCAAAATAGACACTGATAAAAGCAAACAGTGGATTCAAACATATCTAAAATGGATTTGTGTTGTTGGAAATCTTGATTTGCCATTTGTTGCAGAATTCACCTGATAAAGAGCTAATTAGAAATTCTTGGGTTTCACTCTGTTGCACAAGTTTTATATCCTCAGACTCAATAAAGCACCTCAAATATCTGTCTTCCAACACTGGCAGTGAAAGTAATACCAGAATAACACCAAATAATATCAGTATTTAATTGCCTTAAAACTGGCAGGAATGGGAGAAGAAACACAATTAGTAATTATTAAAAAGTGATTTTCTGCTTTTGTTCTCCTGGACCCTTTGATATGGAAATAAAAGATGAAATCCATCATTTTAAATTTACTTTTTGCTTCTATCTGCCTCCCTACCTTTAGAAAGCTCAAGCATCACCATCCCACTGCCAAGGGGATGCCTGGAAGACTAAAGGAAAAACACACTGGAAACTCAGAGAGGTTTTCACTAAACACTTTCTTTTAAACTTCTCCTGTCTTTTATTCCCTTTCCAGGATGAGATGGGAAGGGATTTATCCCACCCTAGACATGCTGTAAAGTTTGTCTTTAAAATATCAACAATGCCTTCTGTAAATGGTCTGTAGTGAGGAAAACCACACAACAACCACACGGATTTCTGGAGAGTGAGACTTAAAATAAATTATCTTCTCCTAAATTCTTTATCTTTGCATTGGAATTTCCATTTGCAGTGTCTGAGGGAGCTCTGTTAAGTCCACACTGAGTGGGGTGTTCAAGGCAGAGCATCTGCCAGGAACGGGAGAGACTCCAGAAAAATCAAATGAAAGGAACTCAATTTTCTCCTGCTTTTGCTCCCATCTTTCAAGACATCCTCCTGATTCCATCTCTGACCTGTAATGTGATTTAGATTCCTTGCAGAACACACGAGGGATGTAATGAGACTGAAGAGAGTTTGAGTAATAGGTAGTTTCTATTAATAAAAGGAAATCTAATTTGTCTGCCCTGCTCACTGTCTCTAAACTTGATCCATGGACTTAGTTCAGTTCCAGAGCTGCCAGTCATGTGATTAGAAAGCCTCCTAGGCAGCTTCTGAATGTCTGGGGGCTTTTATCAGATTCTGGCTCACCTGCCAGAGCATTTTGGATAGTTGAAACCAGGGGAAAACAAAAAGATTCTTCCAGAAAGCTTGTTGCATTTGAGATCCCATTCCTTCTAAACCCTCTCACGAACATTTCTTTGTGTTTATCAGCTTTTGTTGGCTGTTAGACTTACAGTTGTCTGTATCTTTCTTGGAACTCGCAGGGATTCCTCTTGAGAATGAGGGATTCGAGCGGAGTGTGTCTGAAATCTGATATTCCACTTAGTGTCACAATGTTATTTTCAGCCAGAGATAAGTGCTGAATCTGAGGGATCTTTGGCAGCTGTTTGAAGGATCTAAAGTGGTTTTTATTGACATTTAATTCTCTGCATCTGTAAAGCACAAAGTGTATGCCATCAGCATCACATCTGTGACAGAATATACCTGTAAGCCAACACAGGGAGGGATTTTATACACAAGTTTTATATTTGTGCTGTTTCTGCCTACCCATGGGCATCAAGATCAGATCCCTACACTTTAAACTCTCAGCTTTCTTTTTATTGTCCAGTGGATGCATCATTATCCCAGCTGTCAATATTACAGCTCTCCACACACACACAGAGCAACAGCTGGATTGTAAAATACAGTTGTCATGGTCATGCTTGGCCTCTGCTTGGGTTCTGTTCCACCATGGAGGTTCCTTCAGGGTGCAACAGCTTCCTTTTTTTTTGGCACAAATCTCCCTGAACTTCACAAGACTCATTAATTATTCCCCAGGAGTAAAGGGGTCATCATCTGATCTCCCCACTGAGGATTTTCAGCTTGGCATGACATGAACTCAGACTGACAATATACTGACAGATTCTCAATATAATACTCTCCAAAATAACATATTTGGCAGTTTTCAAGAGTAATAGCCCCAGCTATTACCTAAGTAAGTAATAATTTTGATTTCTATGATATTGCATAAGAATAGAAACAGAAATAGGATATTTTGTCTACCTTGGCAACCTTATGGCACTGAGGTCTGTCAGGGAATTGTCCACCAACCAAAGCTTTTCCACCCGAATTAATCTTTGGAGAATCCTCTTGAAGTTTTCCACCTGGTAAAGATCACCCAGGTCCTGGAATGAAAGGTTCAGCTCCTGGGAAGGGAAAAATAAGATAAATCACTCACTTTTTTTCTTTTTTTTTTTTCCTTGCTTTCTAATAACTATTCATTAAATATTTTTAATGCCAGAATTAGTTAAAAGGTGGATCTATTTTATGATGCCCCTCTTATAACAACTGGTAGTGCCAGTTGCCAAAATTCACCTCAGAGCCATAATGATGGACTCTGGAATTCTTTGGAAGGAATGAAAGAAACCATCCTTTAAGCATGAATTTTACTGTCCCACTCTTTGAGTGGGGGGAGCCAGAGTGTGTGCCCTGGGTGCAGAAAGCAGGACTAAGTGGTTGTGGCTTCTTGGTTTGGCTTCTAAACTAAATGGTTTCTAAATGGTTTGGGTTGGAAGAGACCTTAAAGCTCATCCAATTCCAACCCCTGCCATGGGTAGGGACACCTCCCACTCGATCAGGCTGCTCAAATCAAACCCTGTCACAACACGGGATCTTTATCTTTTGGGTCACAACCTAAATAACATTATATTCCAGTCCTTCTTCCCTTGTAAAATCCTCCTGGTTTACAATGTCACGGTGCCAAGCTGAGTTTTAAAAACCTGCTCCCTGCAGGGAGCAGCCCACACATCATTATTTGGCTTATTTACAACTAGAGCACAAAATGTTAATGAGAAAGTTTTACAGCACAGTTTTCCCAGTTCTCTTGCAGCCTCTTTTCCCATTTCTCTGTGTCAGTTACTTGTTTTCTTTTTTTCAAAGGGTGTTCTTCTCTTCTGAAAAACAGCTCCTCTTCTGAGGGCCCTGGTCAGAGAAAAAGATTTACAAGAGTGGCTGTGATGGGGAACTGGCACTGAGTTACCTGCTGAAAGATTATACATGTGGCTGGGAAGAGATCTGTAATGAAGAAATATATATAATATTATAGGTGTGTAGGTTTCCAGGCATCTTAGACATAAATTAATGGGAAGATTTTTCTACCATTTCCTGGCCCATAATTCAACAAGCAATCTGAGGCCCTGATGATTTGGTAGGTGGTTGGTAAATGACAGTTCTTCTACGGGTCAGAATAAAATCAAGCTGTTTCTGAACGGATGTTCTTAAGGATCTGAGCTCTAAAATCCTGTTTCTATGTGCTCTGAGTTGGCCTTTAACTGTTCTGAGAAAGGGAGATGTTTGCAACTTGCGCTGACAACAACTGCAATGGGGTCAATGACTCAAAACCTCACTTGTATTAAGAATGACACACCCTGAACACTTCAATTTTCTTAAGGTTTACTGAAATGTCTAGAGCTATGGACATCTTCAAATTCCTAATGAGAGCAAGGACAGGGTGGAAATTTTCCACTCTTTAGTCCCAAACATGCAAATACTGGATTTTGAAATCCATCTTTCAATGTCTACTCTTGAGTGTGTCTGTAGTTTGTAATGGAGCCAATTCAGCACTGGATTTCCCTCTTGGTTTCTTGTTTGACATAGGGCTACTGCATTCTGAGCAACATTTAAATGCTAATGAACTTTTGAGAGAAGTAATCGACACCATATTAATACTAAATATTTTCAATTTACTGTTCTGGCAAATGTTTCCCATTTTTGCAGTGACAAAGGATAACTTTTTAGTGAGTAAAAAAGCAAATATGTACAGTATGGGATAAAATCCTGCCCTTTTTCAAGAGAATGGCAAACTCCATGATTTCAGGTCATAACATTCAGGCATGTAGGTTTTGAGTAAATAGAGTTAAGGCTCCAATGTGAACGTGTCTTTTTGATGTTCACCTTCTCTCACTCGGGGACAAAGGAGCTGATTTCCTCGAACATCGTGTTCCTCTATGTCACACCAGCCAAGGTACTTGAAGGAGTCGGAAGGAAGCTTAAAAAAAAAGTAAAATAAAGACATGAAAGAATCAGTAAAAGTTCTTCAGCTTCTGACATTGTATTTTCTCATATTTTTGGCCTTCTTGCAGTTGAAATCCCTCCAGTTAGAGCCACGTGCAGAAGCTGGTTAACGCTGTGGGAATTCAAAATTAAGTGTAGTTTGCCACAGCTCCTTCTGCTTTACTTCTACAGATTGACTCAAATATTGGAGAAGCCTTTCCAGGGCTTGTTATCCCCTTGCCCATCACCTCCAGTTTGGTGCACAGTGCTCAGAGGCCGAGTCCAACCCCTTTCCCCACTGACACCACAGCACAGAATCTTATTTATAAATCTGCCCCAGCTTTGGAAGATGAGAGGAGGTGACAGGGTCAGCCCCAAAGCTGAGGAAGAGATTTCTGCCTTAGCTGTTCTTTGTCAGGGCTCTCTTCCATAAACCTGTACTCAGAGTGGTAAAGCCAAACACTCACTGGGGGAGGCAGCCCAGAGTCACAGCTCGGCCGGACGATTCCTCTGCCTTGTGATAAACCCGCTGGAATTGGGGGTGTGTCTCTCAGGATGGAGCAGCAGGATAAGTAGGATTCACAGAATTTTTGATTGCTTGTGGTCAGACCTGAGGAACTGAGAGAGATGTTAAACCAGTAATTGGTTCTGTTCAGAGAAATGCAGATTGGTTTCTAATTCCAGAGAATACTGAGTAGCCCAGGGTAGGACTTGGCCACGTGGTGCTGAGATGAAACCATCGACAATCCCCTCACCTCTCACCTGAGCAGTGTTTACATACATGGAGGCTTTCACAGATGAGTCCAAACATCAGAATGAGGAATTTACATTGACAGTTTGATAGAAAAATGCAGGAGGAAATGAAGGAGTGACCTTGCTCAGCAGTAGTGATGTGTCCCCTTCTGCCCTGTACAGCCCTGCCTTGATGGATCCAGGCTGGAGGAAAAGGATACATCAGTTATTTATTTTAATCCCTTTGTATATGTATTTTAATTTGTTATTTTACTAATATTATATTAGTATATTTATTTTAATCTCTTGAAAATCTCAAGGATCCAGAGAAAAGCTGAACTTTGTTCAACAGAGTCTTCAAATCATAGAATCATCAAGGTTGGAAAAGACCTCCTAGATCACCAAGTCCAACCTTCAATCTGATGTGTTTTTGTGCTTTGCTACTCCATTGCCTAAGAACACTTCCAAAAGCCCATTTTATACACCCTAAATGATGCAGTTCCTCCAACTGTGCTTCAGAGGGGCTGAAGAATTTGCAGACTGGCAGCTTTTGCCATGGAATCCTTGAAAAAATTGATTTAATTGAGTAAGTGTGTGCACACAGCACTGTAATTTGACTTTCACTGTACAGGCTGGCTGAGCTCTTGCCAGAAAGTATCAGCTGTCAGTGAGTATTGTTAGAACAACTCGAGTCGGGAACAGAGATGAAAATGCAGCTTTGAAATGGTTTGGGGAGCAAGGCAAAGAAAGTTTCCTGCTGAGTGTAACAGAGAAATTAAATAGAACATCAGTTAAAAGGTGCAATTACAGGTTATTGAGGAGTCATGTGCTGTTGACCTCACTATGGTTGTGTTGCCTTTTTTAAGCACCAGCAAAGCCCAGTATTCCATCTTGGCTGGCTTTGGCCCAGAAGTGCTCCCAGGCTCTGACACGCTGATCTCCTCCTCCCTTGATGCTTTGTGGTGGTTTTTAATGGGATTAAACCAGCCCAAATAAACCATAGGTGACTTCAGGGGAGCTGAGTGAGCTCAGCATTTGGGAAATTAACAGCTATTTTATGTTTTTCAAAGTCATCTCGAGGCAAACAGAGCATTTTCATGTGTGTGTGTGTGTTCCAGGGCAGCAGGTTCACACACACAGCAGCCCTGTGAAAAGGGGATTTACACTGGGTCAGTATTAAAAAAAAAACCCACAGGAAATAAAAAAGTGCTGGGAATCCTTGTTTAGCCCTATCTTGGTATTTGCTCTGCTTCTGCTTCCTTGTGTGTTAAATGAGGTCACACCAAAGAGATGTGGAGAAGTTCTTTTATATTTAAGAAAAAGGTCTGTTATTTCTCTCAGTTTGGAAGCGATTTTTTAGGAGGCATTCAGATGACTATTTATAACTGCAAGACGTTTCAAAACCTACCTTCCTCTCAGCCAGATACCTCCTCCTCTGCTGAGACAGGAATATACCTCGAAAAGTGGGATGAAACATTTTAGCTCAACCATTTAACGTGGTACCTATTCTGATCTCCTGGCAGAAACCCACTCACAAAACTCTGTATCATGGTAGAAAATGAAAGTCCAGAATCAACTGGCTTCTCCAATCAGGTGGGGAGTGAGATTTCCACGGGAAAGAGTGACAGAAGGAAGCATTTTTCATCTCAAAACTGCCTGAGTTTAACAAGCACCAGCTGGACCCCAACATTCTGTCACAGGACATTTTTCTGGAGGAGCAAGTGCCACACCACTTTTCTCTCCCTTGCTTTGTTTTCCTTCCTATTTTGCTGCAAAACTGATGCAAGAGAAATGGCAGGATGCAATTCCAAGCAATTACAGATCACACAATACATGAAAGGAACAAAATTTCCTGCCTTGATTGTGGGGCCCTTGGGCTGGATATGAATCTCCAATGACACCTCTGGGAGCTGCACACTAGATTATGTCAAGCATTAAGGGGGAAAAAAAATTAGATTCATGATGTCTGTCCAGGCTGAGTCATTTCCTCTCACTTCGCCTGCAGTGAGGAATCGGTGGTTATCATAAATCAGAGACCTAAATTCTTATGAGAGAAGAATTAATTTCACTAATGGAAACCCTCTGTGGCAACAGCATTCCTCCAGTCCCTCTCCTTTTGGGGTGGGGGAGCAGTACCTGTGATGTGTTTTGAGTAGAGATGCTTGACTATATTTTAAGAATTTTATAAAAGAAGACTTGAAAGGAAACCTAAAATGATAATGGGGTAAAAAAAATCCTGTGTGTGACCAACTTCTAATTTCTGAGGGTGGCCCTCAATGTAGTTCCTACCACAGCTACAGCTTTGCCACTGGTATCAAAGCCAGGTACAAAATTTCAGAGCCCTCCAGTCAAAATCAAACATCTAAACCCTCCACCTGCCTCAAGTATGATTTACCCTCCCCTAACTGCAGTTGCCAGGCTGGAAATTCAGGCTTAGAAAATTTTTTGCCTCTCTCTCAAGTCGGTGGAGATGAGTGGGAACGTCCAGATATTCATTTACTCAACCCAGCCTCGATGCTTTTTATTTTCAGCTGGAATGACTCACCATCCACAGGATCCCACAGGCTTCCCTGAGAGCAGGCACAGCTCCAGGGCATCTAAAGTTTGATGAGGAGGATCCCACCTGAAGTGCCTACAGGATGTTTTGAAATAGAAGGACCTCTGACCCCTTCAAAAAAGCTCAGGGGAAATTTCTGTTCCAAGCAGCAGCATTGAAATGCATAAAATATATAAACCAGCCACTCCAACTAAATAATTAAACAAAAAAAACCAAAAAATTGTTACTAAACAGGCCCTAAGCAGCACCTTGAAGTCTGGAGCTGACTGGAGGTGAGTGAAAAGTGCTCATGACTAACCCCATGTGTTTTCTGTATTCTCCTCAGGGCAAGTCCCAGTGGGGAATTAAGGGGCTGAAATGTTTTGCAAACTGGCAGGAGCGAGGGCAGAACAGCTACTGCATTTTTCAGCACATGACTGATGAGATATGAGGCCGTGTCTTGGCAAATCATGCCTTGCCACAGAGCTCCCTGATCCAAGTCCCACTTTATCAAGCCATCACTGTCAGTCGTGAGACCATGAAATGCTTCTCCTCCCACTGACCACGTTTTTACAGACTCCAAAACGCTCTAAGTTTCCTTAATGCAGTGCAAGTGCATTTGAGCCCAGCTGACTTTGTGGGTAAAATACATTAAAAGCCCATGAAATGCTTTGAAGAGCTATAGCTGAGCTGCTTCTGAAACTACACCGGGGAAAGACATTCTGAGGGAAAAACTGAGGGAAAAATCCCTCCTGTGTATCTTTTAGACATTCAGCTGCTAAGAAAAGACTGTCAGTCAAAAGACTCCTTTCTCCTGATAAAGTGGTAGCCTCGATAAACAAACATCTGAGACTCCCCAGCACAGGTCCAGCTTTGCCTGGCAGAAAATAGAAAGCTCAGTGGAAGAGGAGGAGAGATAAAGAAGGTTGTAAATCAACTCTTGCAGTTGGGATTTGAAAAGCTTTTAGTCCCAGTGTTTTCAGCAGTTTTGGGGTCTGGTCCAGCTTTCCACAGTCTTATTCCCAGCTGCTTTTCATGAATCAGCAGCCTCGAGCAGGTTTAACTTTCACTGAACGGTGTCTACTTTCCCCATAGACCTCAAATGCTCTTGGTAAAAGATCTGGGAACGAACAGTAGGGCTGTTCCTACTGACTCTTCACATATCCAGAGTCAGAATTCCTATGGTGCTCCCTACAGCTTCACATCCCACCAAATCCCAGGCCATATCTGATGGGAAGGTCCCTGCTCCCAGGAGGTTGATCCCAGTGAAGTCTGGTCACGTTGGTAGGTGCTCCAAGTTCTTTCAGCCCTGCTACAGTGGAAGTGAAAAACGTGGACCATTCTAAAGGAACCAAACCAAACATGTTTTAAGATCATCTTTCAGAAAAGGAAAAAGAAAACCAAACCTCAGAAACTAAGAAAAGGGTGATACACCCCATTATTTATGCTGTCCCAGTCAGTGGCACAAGCCAAGGTCCATCCACATAAATGAACTGCAGGGTTAACTTACACACACAAATCCTGGAGGTATTTAAAAGACATCAAACTCACAATTTGGGCTGTCCTTAGTTCCAAATGCACCCAATTTACTGCTCAGGAGCAGCTTTGCTTGTATGCAAACATTTATTATGGGAACTCTCTGAACCTAGAATAGTTGAGGATGTGGACACAGTGTTTCCATACTCTATTACCTTTCCATTACTTTTATAGGAGTTTTATGAGACATTACACAACATTTTGAAGCAGCTCTTTTGAGCATAATTTAGTGACAAACACACCTGTAAGTTATGGCTGTAATACACCCTTGCTGTTAGCTCTAGCATCAATTATCTCGCTTTATGCATCATAAAATTGCCCCCCACAAGACATAATTAACATAATTAGGTCCTATCACCGTAATTATACATACTTAGAATATTAACTAAGATTTTCTTGGTGGGTACAAACTCCACATCTCAATCCATGTGCCTTTCACACATTTTTACAACAAATCAGACGTTTCTGATGGGACGGCTTTTGCCTTTCAGCAAAAACACGGCACCGAGAAATAAAAAAAAAATCCCCTGTTTGGATTCCTGCTTTTGCTGCACAACAATATCTCCATTAGCAATACAGGCTGGTACATTTTAAAAAGACACTCAATCCTGTAACATTATCTTTGTTGTCAAAGCATGTCAAGCTGTGCAATGACTACAGGAACGGCTCTCCTTTCACCCTCCTACCTTTCAGACATGTCTCGCTGCTGCACAAAGTCCTCACATCTCGCACAGGGCTATTTGTCTACAGTCAAAGCTTATCTTCCCATCTCTGCCCCTGCATGGGGAGGGAGTTCCACAGCCTCTGGAGAGGGGGAACCTGCAAGGATCCAGGCTGGGGCTGGGTGGATTCACTGTCTCCAAGGAAACGCTGTCACCTCGCAACGCAGTCACGTTAGGAGCTATTGTTACCAATCTCTTAAGTACATCAAACAAATTCCTGGGCTGGTGGAGCTGGTATCAATGAACTGTCTTTCCAGAAGGTGCCTAAAGATAGGTTGGTGATACCTGTAGCAAGATACGTGATCATCCGGACGAATCTCTGATCTGCTCGCTCCGGAGGCTTCACTTTCCTGAATCGCTTTCACAGTTTTGCCCACTTGAAGTTAATATTTTCTTTGCCTCAAAGACTTCCTGCTTCATTAATGGCTTGTTAAATGCCTTATTCATTTATCAAAGACACTTTGGATGAAAAGAAACTACTTAAAGAGCCTCATGTTTTATGTAACGTCCATGAAAGTTCTTCATGGGCTCCTCTTCACTCTGTTGAGGGTTCTTGCCTTGTTTGAACGTGCTCAGCCATTTTAGAAACAACCTCCCAGGCTTCTTTCTTCGAGTTTGCAGCTGAGAATGAGAACAAGAGACTCTTCTCTTGGTGGGAACCAACAGGTCAGTTTTGTGTCTGTTTTTATGTAATATTTTTCTTAACACATTAAAGCTGTAGGTTTTGAGAGCCGGCCCAGTGAAGCTATTCCCTTGAAAACGTGTTTGATATGATGTTTGTTTGGCTCACCCAGACAAAGTGCAGGTGCTGGCAGGGTGCCACTGATGGAATTGCAGCCCAGGGTTGTTCTGGGCACTGGTTAGCTCCTGCTGAAGTTTACAGATGGCTTTTAAACTCCACCAGTTGTTACAGGAACCAGGTTTTGGTGTAAGGTTATAATGGAGCACTCAATCACACCCTATTGATCGGCATCTCCCACACCACGGGCACAGCTCCTGCCTCACTCGAGCTCCTGGGCTCAGCACTGAAAGAAGAGGAATAAATAAGTTAAAATCAATGTGGAAAAAAGTACACAATCCGCTCTGCCTGGGGATATTCATCTGGAAATACCATATAGTCAAACCCTTGATGGTTCTGACTTCCTACCTTTCAATTTCTCCACAGGAGAATTATTCCTTATTCTCCCTTTCCCCTCATATTTCCCTTTTCTTTTCTTCTTGCTTGATCAATAAAAGGTTTTTCTGGGTAGAAAGGCATGTGCTTTCCCCAACAGTGACTGGAGGCTCCAAAACATTGCCTTAGAAATTCTGCTGGCAAACTTCGCCGTGCCGGGAAAGTAGAGGAGAAATAATGGTTATTAGAAAATTTCAGCTCCTGTGCAAAGGTATTTTGCGGTTCCAAATGTTGAATTGACAGATGGTTATGTGAAACTTAACAAAGTAGTCATTCCACACAGGTTGCATTAAAATTTTATGTGGTAAGAGCTGAGTTTATTACAGGGTGGGCAGAGAATGGAGTATTAGGGATTCATCAGGTCACTTGAACGTATCCTTTCTCTGCCTGCTAAGAATAAAAAAAAATTAATATCTAAATCAAACAAGACTGTAATTCGGGGCCTTTCTACTTACCATTTGTCCTGTCTGCACAAAATGAAAGGAATTGGTCCCCATCACAGCCTAATGGGCTTCAGATCTTCTATGGCAAATGCAATCCTCATAAAGCCCATGAAAAATTATCTCTGTGCTATTGCAGGGAAATGACATATTTTACATGGTGGAGGCCTTTCCATTACAAACACTATTTTTCAGATCTTTACAACCTGCCCATAAAAATGTGCTTCTGACAAGAAATTCAGCAGCCTGCCCCAGCTCTGCAGGGAGAGTTTTTTCCCACTTTATCCAATTCTGACCAGTAATTTTGTCTCTGAAACGGCTGAGCAGGGCGAGTGCAGGGTGGGCATCAGTCTCAACCACGTGTCTGTCACATCTGCATTCGATCAGATGCTTCCCTGGCTGTCCTACAGGTGCATGAAATATGTATGCACTGGCCAGAACAGGGCTCATCCTGAGGGCTGACTAATGACAGAAACAATCCCAATTATTCTGGCTGCTGTAGGCCACAGGAGGCCCTGTTGGTCTGGGCACCGCAGAAAGCCAGGAAAGCAGAGTTTGCTCCAGAGAGTTTGGGCTTTAATTGAACAGAGCAGACAGACAAAGAGCAGGAAGAAAGGAAATAATGTTATCCCTGCCTCCTTTTCTGCAGAAATAACTGAAATGCTCAGACCATGAAATCCTGGCACTGTGGTAATAGGCAGCAGAAATCGTGTTCCTGTGAGCAGGGTCAGCAGTCACAGAGCATTCACAGGGCCTGACATCGCTGAGACCAGGCTAGAGGAACAGTCTGGCTTTGAAGTCTGCATTTAAACAGCTGAGTTTCTCTGAGCTGACATTTCGTTAATCATCATTAAAGAACACTTAAAAATCATTTCTGTGTGATAACATTTTTCTCATTCGGGGATGCAGCAGCTTGCAAACATTAGTTTGTTGGTGCAACTTCATGTTCTTTGCGTAAAATACTTAATTTACTTAGGTGATATCAAACTATTAAGCAAAATCAGATCTAAAAACTTCACATTTTAGCAGCAGCAGCAAATTAATTTCTCTGCTGATCTTACCTGGTTTGACCATATCCAGCAATCCATGGTATTGGAGTTGGATGAATCAGTTAGAGGGAGAATTTCTTTGACTGTTTCTTTAGTACAATCTGCATTGACAGTCCCAGGAAGCACTGGAAAAGGAACACAGTGTTAAATGCACAGATGCTCATCTGTGCCTGGGCAGAGAAGCAGGCACAACTCACACAAACCAACTGGACATTTTGCTGAGTTACCCAGGCAACACATCTCTTTTTGTCCTGCTCATTCAGGATTCCACTCAACCCTTCAACTCCCACTGGTAGGACTTGGAGAGCATTCCCAGGGAAAAGCCAAGTACAACAGGATAAAGCCTCAGAGAGAAGGAGAGCAGAGTTAGTGAAACTTTTCATCAGGGTCACCAGACAAAAAGGAATCAACAACAAGCCACATAAATTATTGAAGTGAAAACTATATATGTCTGGTTTTCTGAGGTGTGACAAACCCAGGGATTCCAAGAGGGTTGGAGGGGCTGTAACCAAGCAACAAGTATTGAAATTTGGTTCTCTCTTCTGGAAAAACAACGGGCTTGCAAGTCATAGTGACAACGTCTGGCACTGAAAATCGAGCCTTTCCCTGATTTTATAGTCTTTGGCTCAAGCCATAAGAGGAGATGTTTATGGAATGGAGAAGGGAACTTTTATTTCAGTATCAAATCTGGATTTTCTAACCAAATGTAGGTCAGCCATTTCTGGGGGATCTGGATTTTATCTCACACTACGGAAAGATCACATATAAGCGACGTTTGGAGATATTTTTTGTTTTAAAGTTTCTTTCCAAAAAACATTGGGCATAGCTTCCCTTTTCTTACATTTGGCAACTTGAAAGAGAAAGCCTAATCATACCCCAAGTATTCTATACCTCACTGAGATATATTTTCCCTTTTACCTTCAAACAGGGCTTTTTATATTGAATGAATTTATTGCATCCTGATGCACAGATGCCCATAGGAAGGTCATGCTTAACCTCATACCCTCACAAGTAACGCCAGTGAATTCAGCTGGAGCAGAATCCAACTCGTATGTGCATGTGGAAAAATCCCAAAGGTACCTGCCAGGTGTCTGCCAGACTTCTCCCAGGAGATTGAGCTGAGTGTTGCTTCACACAAGTGATGGTTTAGAGCTCACTGAAGGGGATAGACAAAGCCCCATCCATTTTAATGAGTTTGCTGTCAGTCCCCACTTGGCCAGGTGCCATTTCTGTCTAACCCTCAAAATTTAAAACACCTCACCCAAAGCTGCCAAAACAAACAGGAGCAGGCATTTGATGGAGAACTCTGCTGTGGGGTCAGTCTCATTTCCTCCCTCCACGTCCTTATTATGGATCTCATCTTTCATCTTTTCACGACTTAATTGTTAGCAATTCCCAGTAGAATACAACATTCATTAAGCACTTCCTAATTTATCAAACATGGGTTTCATCAGGTAATTTTAATCATATGAAAATCATTCTGAATTCATTTTGATGTACAATTTCCTGTTGAAGCCTTGTGAGCCTCCTTTTCCCCTGTGCTGCTGGAAGCAGCATCTCTGGTTATTCTCCTCTCTAACTTCCATCATTGCAGATGCCACAATATTTCCATAATTTTTTGCATTTATTTATGAAGCTGCTGCCAACTGCTGCAGAGTTATGTTTCCTCTTTTTGTGGAGAATTGATGACCTGAATTACATTGAAAAAATTGTTTCACTTCATCCATCAAAACCCTCACTTCCCGAAACTCAGACCTTGCAAATATGGGAATACTTGGGAGTCACCAGAGCACTTCTTTATTAAAGTGACTTTACCAAGTTGCCATATGTCAGATATTTGAGAGAAATAAGCATAATCTCTCTAAGTATGGAACAGGAAAACTACTCCATTGCTGGGCCAAGGTGGTAAGAATGACCCAGCTCTCAATAAGCTAAGAAAGGAGGGAAAGAACATGGAAAAGCAATGCAGTTGAATGATAAACATAATTCAGTTGTTTAAAATTCAGAGATGCCTGTCCCCATTCCAATCAAAGAAGGAACTGAGAGCCTTGAACGTGTATTTACAGGCAGAACTTGTTCCTGACACGTCTGATTTTTTTTTGTCCCTATTCTTTCCCTGACTCTTATTGCCAAAAAAAATTAGGTTCAAATGAATGCCTTGTTATTCACTGTCTGCAAGGATAATAAAGATGTTCTCTGGCTGAGAGCAGAAAGCAGGGCCTCCTGTGATCATGGGGAAAAGAAGAGAGAAGCATTATGAGAAGAATCAACTGTTTTTATTAAAGGTGCTGTGTTCATGCAGCTTTTGTCAGGAAATCCAAATAATTTGCTCCCACTTGCTCTCATTTGGAAAAAATGGCAGCCTCGTGTTACATAAAAGAAGGAGAAGGAGCCTCGTTTCTCTCCAGTGCTTCTTTTATAGGAAGGAGACAGACACACTGTGGCTGTCCACAATTCCTGCCTGGAAAGTTGGGAACAGGCACAGCCTGCCAAGAGGAATTAAATGTAATGAAAATGTTTCTGCTCAAAGTCAGAGACTGCATTTGCTGCATCACAGCCTGGGTGTTCTGAGGGCTACAAGATATTCTCTTTCCAGCAGTCCTGGGGGCCCTGAAGGCTTCTTGGGACTGATTTCCCATCGCTTTGTCCCTCAGCTGAGGATTTGGACCTGATGTTTGGCCTCACCAAACGGGGATTTCTGAGCAACAGGCATTTTGTATTCACAAGGCACAGCTATAAATACCTATTTTAAGTCAGGTCTCCTGACCTCAGTAGAGGAGGGATTCTGGACTCACAAGAAGACCTCAAAGTATCTCCACAGGGATGATTTACCTTCCCCTTTCTCTGTCTTTGCACCCAAGTTCTGGCACTGCAGGACCCCAAAGGTGCTGTTGGGACGTCCCAGAGCCCGTGTTTGTAATTCCTGGTGTGGGCAGTGCTCCATCCACATGAATTAGTCCTTCCTGCCACGGGATCACTGTCAATCAGGGCCCAGGGAAGGTGATCCACTGGCTGCAAATGGAATGACTTCATCCAGTGCCTCGCTCTGCTTTAACTGTTTTCATCCAAAATCCCCTCTGCAGACAAAGCTGGATTTTTTCAGAGGGTCATTGCCCACCTCACGCTTTTGCTTTAACAGGGATGAGGTGATAGAAGCAGCAGCTTTTCTTTCAGGAAAAAAAAAAAAAATTAAACCCTATACTATTCAGATCCATCCTGATCTTTGGACTTCAAGGAGGTCCTAAGTCCAGTGCTGGCCTGAAGGGGTTATGAAGATGCTGTTAAACTGCTTTATGTCACTGTGTTCTCCAGTCACAGACCTGCCAGGCCCCTGAGTAAAAACATCAACCATACCACCTTTCAGGTGCTCCCCTTTGCTGCCAGCTCCATGTTGTATTTCAGCGGCTGGGAAATGAGAATTTTCTTTTCTCCTTGCCTTGCACTGGGAGAAGAAGAGAGCCCTGTTTTCAGCAGGAAACCTGCTGATGTTGCCTCTTCAGGCAAACAAAACTTACTGAAAAGCAACAAGGTGTAACTCTCTTGACTGAGGCAGAATATTTCCTGCTGATGCCTGCTCTTTAATGTCTTCCTTCCAACCTCATATTTTTTTTGCAGTTGAGCTGTGAGACACGAGCAGCTGAGCTTCAGTGGTGCTCCTCCTCATTTTGCATGCTGCCTTGGCTGTTTTGGAGAGCTGCTGAATACAAAATGAAGCTGCAAGAGTGTGTTTGCTCTACAGGCAGCAAGGCATGAAGCACTCCTCTCTCCAGCTGTGGAGTACAGCCAGAATCTTGCTCACAGTGTCGTTGGAGATGTGACTCAGTGTGTGTGACATTTAGTATTCCATTGTGTGACAGCAGATGATTAATGCTCGCAGCAAAACACGAGCCGGTTTAAATAAACAAAATTAAATGTATTTCTCTGATTATAGAAATCATGTGTTATATCTCTGAGGGAACATCAGCTGCTGCTCCCAAATGCTTCAGATCTGTTGGCTTGTTTTGGAATGCTTTGATTGTTCAGTGGATTTTCCTGCCGCATAAATCCATTGGCACTCTGGCCCAACGAGGCCAGTCAGGGATTTGGCCTGGAGTGTGGGACACAGCAGGCTGCTGCACATCAGCCTCAGTCTTGTTTCATGGTCAGCAATTTACAGCATCAGATTGTTCCAGCCCAGCCTTAGAGAGGCATCACGAGATATAAAAGGACAGGACCTCAGCCCGGTGCCAAACCAGTGGGATTCTCCCAAGCCTGTCCCAAGGGCACCAGACCAACTGGATCTGCTGGTCACCCACCAGGAGGGTTGTCCTTTCTGTTCCAGCAGTGCTGCTTCCTGAGGAATGAGTCGCTTGGGATACAGCCCAGTGTGTGGAGCAGAGCCCAGTTCCGAGTCTGGTGCATGTTCTGAGATCGGGAACAGGAGTAAATACTGATTTTATACCTCTCTACCAACTGTGTTGGGCAAAAAACAAGTCTTAACTGCTGTGTTAGAGCAAGGTTAGGGAGTGTTAGAGCAGCTGAAGGCACCAGCAGCATTATTGCCATGACACACAAAAGCACAACACTGTCACAGAGACCCCTTAGTTTATCAGATTGTCTTCAGGTGTGTGTGCTCAGTGTGAACACACCTGCAAAATTAATAATCCCCAAGCTCTGTTAAAAAAAAAAAAAAGGCCTTGTACAGAAACTCTCTAAAAAATAAGCAGGGCTTTGCAGCACTGAAGGAGATGGAAATGTAAAACACCCTTTCCACTTGAAACCCCTTCTCTGTGGAGCCATCAGGATGCATTTCCTGGGGAAAGAGCAAAGACTTTGATCTGCCTTTTCCTTGAATGCTGTTCAGATTATCGTGCTTGCCATGAAGGGTGCAAAATGGGCTGCCAGCTGGTTAATGGCCCTTCTGAAAAACAGCCTTCTCTGTTGCTTTTTGGAAGCCACTTGTCATGGAACTATCATAACATAATCTCTGTGCTCTCGTCGTCCACGGGAGGGAGCGTATTTTGAGCAGGTGTTATCGAGGCTAAGAGAGCCTGAATTAACTCATCTTGAAGATACTTCTTACTGCACTGCCAATAAATCTGCTGGAGAGTTGTTCCATCTACAAAACGCATACCAAGTGATACAGAAGCAGCAGATCAGGGATGAGTTCTGCCAGCTCCTCCTGTGGGGGTCGTGGCTCCTCTTCAGGGCGAGCTTTGCCACTGCCCCTCGTGTTAAACTCTGCTATCCCTTGATTTCCCCAGGGCTCCCTGCCTTCATCTGTCTCCTCCTATTAGCTTTGTGAATCCCCTGGGCAGCGGTTGGAGGCACAGGAATTTGCTGCCATCGCTTTCAGGAGGCTGGAATTCATCATTTAACTCCAGGGACTGAGGGAAAGGAGCTTAGCCAAGCTGCTGACTGAGAAAGGGAGGGGGCAAACAACCTTTTTAGTCCCTTACAGGCATCCTGCACCCAGGAAAAGTCCTGCAGCCTCTAAACCAAGAGGCACAGAGTGGCTTCATTATTTTGTACTGCATTATCTGATGGTTTCCTGCAGCAATAGGTTAGGTTTTCCTTACTTACAAGAGTAAAATAATAACAGGATTTGTGACTCTTGTAGTATATCTACATTTAATGAGTGCATGTGCATACACACCAAATACAACTTTACAAATTCTCCATCTTGCATGCTTATAGTCCTCACCTTTTTTTGTAGAAACACTGGGATTAGAAACCCATTTAATATTTTCAGGTAAGTGTCCTCAAGTAATTTTTGCAAAGGGGGCAAAAATTGAGTTCTTACTAATCACACAAATTGCCACCCAGTTCTTTGAACTCAAGCTTCAGGGCATAGCCTGAGAGAAACCTCTCATGGTCCAAAACTGACTGCAACAAATGGCAATCCTTTGATGATGGACTGCACAGGGATTTGGAACAGGCTCCAGGTGACTCTGACTAAATTTAGCTTCTTCTGATGATGCTTTTTGCTATGGGTGTTTTGGACATTTCATGATTGTTGGCTTGATTTAAACATTTAAGGTTATGGAATTAGACACCCCCAATTTCTGCTCTGCCTACCTTGATGTATCATCAGTGAAGAGGAAGAGCTGGTACCATGCTCAGCTTTTGTAAGGGCTTGATCCAAAGCTGTTTTACTCCTGATTCCAAGCTCTGTGTCCCACACATTATGAGTCAAAAGCTCAGTAATTAAGAGGTCACCTCCTCGGAACACTTTGTTCCATGTGTGTATACACACTCAACTTGGAATGGCACTGGAAAATAAATGAATTAAAATCACCCAAGGTTAGCCTGTTCAGCTTGCAACCCATGAAACTGCAGCAGGAAGACTAGTTCTGAAATACTGGGATGATTCACAAATAACTTCTGATCAAAAAGCTGATGTGGGAGCCTCAAATAAACAGGCTTTTTGTGTCACACTGCTGGTGACCAGTGAGATTTGACATTGCCCAGACCATGATCCTTACAGGTTCCAGGGCAAGATGGATTTCTTGATGTCTTTTATTTCTTATCATGTTCTGACATATTTTATTCACTCTGCTCAGGCAATGCTATCACAGTTACCACCTGCAGGGACTCCAGCTTGGGTTTAAAACACAACTCTTAACAAACACCTGTAAATAGAGCAAAAATATTAAACTGGGTCTAAACTCTTTTGGAAGTAGAATACTTGAAGGAATGACTGAAGCTCATCTTTTTCCAAGGACAATTCCAATCCCTTAACGAGAACACTAAAGATGTGATTTAGACACAATCCAGATTTCCCCAATATGTTTTTTCCTCCCTTCCTTAAAAGCACTTCTACACAAACACAGAACTGTTTTTCTGTAGGAATTTTCCAGCAGTTTCTCCAAAAGATCTCTTTTCCATAGGGAAGATGTGTGTTTATGAGAGAAAGACAGTAAACCAACTCGTGATCAGTAGAGCACAGGTCACATCCAAACCACCATTCCTGTTGTGATTCAGTGGGGCTGAAAAGATAAAAACTCAGGCAGTGGGTTAAATTCCTGAGCTGCAGGAACAATTTCAATTCTTTCCTGGTCCTGGTAGACCTAAAATTTTACAAGCACTATCCGTGTCTTGGATAATACATTGATCTTTCCCACCTTTCTCCATTATCTGATATCCTTCATTACCTCACAGCCCTGACTGTTGTACTGTGCTATTGTCTATAAACTTCAATTTCAACTGCATTTTTGTACATTACTTTTGTCTACCTTTTTATTCAGTTTGCCTTACTGCCTAAACAACTGACCCATGACTGGTTTCTAACTAGTGCTGTAAAATGAACAATATTCCTGAGGATGTGCTTGCAAGGCAGTGTGATGGGAAAAGAATGCCATTTGAGGGTCCTGGAAGAGGGGGGTGGTAGATACATGGTGTTAATGAGTTACAAAGTACCAACTGCGTGCACTGAGAATGGTTCCTCATGTGTCACTTTGTTTTCCAGCCCTCACCCAGTGCCAGCTGGAAGCCAAAGAACCGGTGAACCAGTGACCAGAGGTCCCAGTGAGGAGCTGGAGTCTCCCTCCTGTCTGGACCCCTGTGACTGTGGCAGCTTGAGCCAAACCCCTTGGAGACCACAGACAGTTTTACAAACGAAATTAATTCTACAGTTTCTCATCAGTTGTGCCAGTCAGAGTAGCTCACAAGGGAAGTCAACTCAGTTCTTGTCTGAGTTACCAAGGTACTGTTTTCCTCCTCCCTGGCACTGGGTTTGGGGGGTAACTCATCCATCTCTTTCTAATCCATGAATTTCCATTTTCCACTGCAGGGCCAAAAGCAAAGATTGCCCAATTCAAGGGACAGGGACAACTCAAGAACGAGCTTGTAAACTGCACTTTTGGAGTAGGCCTTGTTGCCACTTTAAGAAAACCCTTGTAGGAACATTT